CTTGACACGTTTTGCTCCCGTGTTGAATTAGAACCAGACCTTATTTTAGAAGGGGAATAGAATGTGAATATTGCAGAGTTCCGATGGAGATTTGGCTTTATTTTGGAGTCATACGCAGTAATGCTCTCTGAACTTTGCAGATAGGGAACAACTGAAGATATGGTACTGTAAAACAAAGTCCTTCTTCACCCTTCTGGCTGAGAGGCAGCACAGATCAGAGCAGATTAGCCCATACTGAGCTCCGTGCAGAATAGTTTTTGACATGGATACATCTACTCTGAGTAAATGGTAATAGAAGGAGGCTAAACAAAGGATCGGCAATTGCATATTGTCGTGGGTTAATTAGAAGCTGTAAGAAGACAAAACAGCGATTTCGGTGCTGAGAGAGCTGGTAGGCAATCTGTAATCTAGGTGATTTCAAAAGGTAGAAGCAGTTCTATTGCTTCATCTTCTCCTGAGCCACCCTGTTTGTGCATATTCTTAAAACTGCGTTATTTTGGTTTGGATATTTTGTTGGCATGCTTTTCCTGCGTGCTGAATGGAAGTGTCATTCAGCAAGCAGGGAGAAATGCCTTTGTGTAAAGTGTACAACCTGAACGCACAATGAGCACTTCCTGTAAACTCATTTATTTTCTTGCTGCATCAGCTACTCCTGTTTGGGGGAGGGAAGGAAGAGGTGAGTAAGGAATTTGTGCTAGAAACAGGTTTTTCTACATGTGTCTTCTGCTGTCAACCCTTTGTCTTTTCTTTCCCAAACTATAATCGAAGGGGCAGAAAGCAACTTTAAATGTTGAATTCCACTCTGGAGAATAAATCTGTCTTAACATAATTATGAATGATTTTGGGTTTTTAATATTTATGGTCTGTTTCTGAAGAGCAGTGTCCCGAGCAACTGCCTGCTCAAAGATAAAATAGAAGATCCTGGCCCTTCAAAACAGTATGTCTGCACTTACTTTTTATGTTCCTGAAAAAATGTGTGTTTCATAGGCTCGTTTTGCTCAGAATGTCAATGTATGAAACTCTGAGGTGGAATTGCAGAAGGGCATTGCAGTGATGAGTGTCTTGAGAGATTAAGAGTGCAACTAATTGAAAGTTTTCTTCCAGATTCTTTCATTGAAAAATGCTGCTTTTTGACATGAAGCAAACACCTGGAATGTTCATTACAATCCAAATTGCACAATGTAAAATCAATATTAACAGTGAGGGATAACAATACAGTCCAGATACAAATAGAATCTCTTAAGTGATATAAAGTCATGTATTTGTCCCTCAAGCACGTAACGAACAAGCCAAAGCAATCTCTGAGCCATTAGTGATGATCTTCAGGACTTCATGGGGGATGGGGAGAGGTCTCAGAGGACTTGAGACAGGCAAACACAGTACCTTGTCTTAAATGAGAGGAGGAGGACATGTAGGGAATTGCAGGTCAGTTAGCAGGATCTTCATTCCCAGGACAATACGGGAAGAATTTACTAAAAATCAGTCTGTAAGAACCTAGAGAATTGCAACAATATTCTTAAAAAGGTGGATTTGTCAAACCTAGACTATGTGAGGCCAATCTGATTTCATTTTTTGCTGGAATACTTGGCCTACTGGAATGGGAATGTTGCAAACCTTACTGAATTAGGACACATGGCAAGGTCTCCTGTGGGGGTTCCTCTAAGCAGTACAGGAGAGGTGTTTTAGAGGAACTGAAGTACAAGGGCAGTGCAGAATTGGTTTGATAAACTACTCGAGTGTGAGTTTTCATAATCTCCTGGTAAACAGAAAACATGTCAAACAGGGTGCTACAGATGGAGTAATCCTGTTAGCACCAAGAAGGGAGTGGAGGTTTCTGTAAAAGAAGGCTTAGAAGGGTTGCAAGCATCTTGCTTCTTTGAGATATTAGTGAATGCTGCCATAGCTCTTCATAGCCCTGAATTAAACAGGGTTTTGAAATCACATCATCTTTAAAAACATCTTGCATAGCTTAATCAGAAGGACATAGATGCAGCTTTCTTTCTCTGCAACCTGCTTGCATCCAAGAAATGCATTGCTTGGTTAGTGACTGGTGGAGGGCTACGGTAATCTGCCTGTGCACGGGGAGAGAAACTAAACCACAGCAAATAGATGTGATACAGAGATTTAACTAAAAGGGTGATTGCAGGTGATGCAATTGCACATGGACCTTCTACGATTCTGTCGGGGACATGGTTTAGAAGTGGGCGTGATAAGAGTTAGATAACGGTTGGACTTGATGATTGTAAAGGTCTTCTCCTGCCATAGTGATTTTATGACCTGTAGGCCTGTGGGTACCCTGAACGCTATTGGGTAAATGAGGGGACTGGAGAAAACCACTTACTGATCTGTTGGACAGGTTTCGCATTTTATTCACTATCTCCAGCCTTATCTCGAGTGTGCTTCGACACCGCGTGTCAGGTCAAACACCGCTTTCACTTGCAGTCTGTGCCATCCCACAACAGGACCTTTACGCTTGCTGAGGCCGCTCTGCATAGGTTCTATGTGCGGTGCTAGGGATGGGGCATTGCAGAGCACCGCGGGCCTTGCTCAAACTGCAGCTTCAGTGAGGAAAACTTGCTGTTAAGTGGCTTCTGCAAAGGGGCATTTCTGCAGTTTTACTCAAGATTGCAGGAAGATTAGGTAATACCACCCAGCTCTTCCCCAGGAGCATTGCCCAACACTGAATCTTGGCAGTTGGCTGCCCTCCAGAGCAGCAGCACGGTTGGTAACACTCTACCTCTCGTCCCTCGGGACACAGGGACAAATGGATCCATTTAGCTTTGCTTTGTGCCTCTCTCACCGCAAAGATAAATGAGATGGCCTGCAATACATACTTTGTCTATACATTAAAATAAATATCCTTTACACTTCTGCGCAGTTTTACAGACTGTCAGCATTAACTTGTGGAAGAAGGGTATATTATAACTCCAGTACTATTAAATAATTGTCATCCTGGAATGATGATTAGCTGAGATTTATTGAGCATTGTCAGTGTCCTTAATGCCGTGTAACTGTACCCTTGGCATAAAAAGCCGTATCGTGGCAGGCTGCGCACTTGGGATGCAGGCAATGAAGTAATGCAGTGGTGGTGACCGTTAAAAACGTTTGAGGAGGATTTTTTATGAAAAGGTGAGATGAGGTGAGGCACACAGTTTCAAAACCAGGTATTATGGAGCTGCACTGGGTAGCAGCTGTGGATGATTGCTTTTGTCTTTTGCCTAAAGAAAAAATGTGAAGCTAAGAATTACTTATATGCCATCCTATCCACAGCCTCTGCCCTCCCATAATCAGAAAGAAGGGATCATGTTGTCTTGTGGTGAAAAATAATATTTTCCCCTTCTCATTTCTTGTAACTGCCTTTCTTCCTTTTACACTGTGCTTTTTCCTGTAAAACCTTGTGAGCAAAGCTGCCCTTCTGATTTTAACCTGTTACATGCTATTTCCTTTCTAAACCCTCTGAAACGGCTACTGAGTATTCCCCTTGAACTTGAGCATACCCCCACTTTGGAAATTAAGTTATGTTCCACTGTCTAAAAATTCATGTACCTGTGAGATCTTTGGTGTAAAGAAATCAGTATCTGATTTATTTCAAGGAGAAAACTTATTACAGAGTTTATAATCCCTGAAGAAGTTTGTGCATCATTTCCAGCAGACTAGTTGTGGTCCCTGTGGGATAAAACTCACTCCAGTCAATGCTATTTAAGATGATATTTATTCTCTGAATTTCTGTAGGCCTCAAATTTCTTTTGTGGTACTTTAGTTTTTCTTAGAAATGGGGAAGGAATTCTGAACAGAAAATACATAATTTTGTTTGGCTTCTGCTTGCTCTGTCAGTCTTTAATGCTTTTTTTCTCTGGTACAGTTCACACAATCAATCATGTCCCTGTTAATGCATAGAGGCATGAAAACAGATTTTAGTTAATTGCCATGTGCTACCAATCAACTTTTATTGGTTTGGGATTGGTCTTCAATTGGAGAATGCCATTTGGGGAGCTAGGAAGAAAGGGCAGTCATCTTTTGTCTGTCAAAGTGCCTTAGAAAGGCATTGTTTTGCCTGTTTTCAGTCTTAGGAGAAAGGCCCTGCACATGCTCATCCTCACATGTATAATGCAACAGGAAAGACACTCTAAACCTGCCTTTTCTGACACCTCCAGCGTGAAAGACAGCACAGAGTCAGTAGTGGAGGTGTTGTACTGGGGTTGGGTTTGCTATAGGAAGGACTTGAGCTCACAGGGCAGTCAAGAGAAGTTGTCACAGCGTAGGCAAAGCAAGGACTTCAGAAGTGTTGTGGAACAATGGACCTCAGCATAGTGCCAAGAAAAAGGCTTCTGAAGAAAGGGAAACAGATGGAAAGTTACCTGTTTTACACCATCCTGAGTTTCAGCCTTTCACTACATTGACATGAACTAAAGCAAATTTCAGCCTGTAATAAGGGGATTGGATTTTGCCTTTCTTAACTTAGCTTCGAGTACCTCTTTTTGGAATGGGTCTGCTGGTTTCAGGGGATGAACAGTGACAGACTGAACCTTAGGCCAAAATACGTAGCAGAATAGACGTTCCTCTTTAAATTGAACTAATTTCACTGTCTCTTCTTTGCTCCAGGTGGTGGATGTGGACTTTAAAACAGTGTCTCAACATTTCATCCTCAACTATCTATTTTTAATCTGATTGCACTACAAAAGAAAAGCTGCTAATGGGATAAATGTTGAGACTTTACAAGAACTGACTTGAAGTACCGAAAGCCATTACTATTAATCAAGAAGAGCTCGAAGCTAAGGCTGTATCTGACCAGTCAATATCATTGTCACATAACAGGCATGGCAAGTAAACGAAAGTCAACAACACCATGCATGGTCTTAGCCAACGAGCAGGATCCGGATCTAGAAACAGTATCTGACTTGGAGGAAGGACCACCTGTACTCACACCAGCAGACAACCCTACAGCGGAGAGCGTAACAAGTGATGAGGATGCTCATGAGCATGTGGATTCAGACAATCAGAAAAATACAAATAAAGTAGAAGGCGGCTACGAGTGTAAATACTGTACTTTTCAAACTCCAGATCTCAACATGTTTACTTTCCATGTGGATTCGGAACATCCCAACGTAGTATTAAATTCATCCTACGTTTGTGTAGAGTGCAATTTCCTTACCAAAAGATATGATGCTCTCTCAGAACATAATTTGAAGTACCACCCCGGAGAGGAGAATTTTAAATTGACCATGGTGAAACGTAATAATCAGACAATCTTTGAACAAACGGTAAACGATCTCACTTTTGATGGGAGTTTTGTTAGAGAAGAAAATGCTGACCAGGCCGACTCTTCTGAGGCCCCCTCATCAGGGATCTCAATTAGCAAAACTCCTATTATGAAAATGATGAAGAACAAAACCGAGACTAAACGTATTGCTGTTTTCCATAATGTAGTTGATGACATTCCTGGTGAAGAAAAGGGAACTGATAACGAGCCAAACTCTGAAGAAGTAGTAGAAAACCCGCCACCAGCAGTGTCTGAGTCAAAAGCGAGCCATGCAGTTGTCTGCAGTGCGGCAGATGTGGCGAACGCAGTAGTGACTCCAGCACCAGTGCTTCAGCCTGGAGTGGCACAGGTGATAACGACTGTCACAGCTCCACAGAACCCCAGCCTGATTCCTAAAGTCCTGATACCTGTAAATAGCATTCCAGCCTATAACACTGCTTTGGATAACAATCCTCTTTTGCTTAACACCTACAACAAATTCCCATATCCAACCATGTCGGAAATCACTGTTCTTTCCACTCAAGCTAAGTACACAGAGGAGCAGATTAAAATATGGTTTTCTGCCCAGCGTCTGAAACACGGTGTGAGCTGGACGCCAGAGGAAGTGGAGGAAGCGAGGAGGAAACAATTTAATGGCACGGTGCACACTGTGCCACAGACAATTACCGTTATTCCAGCACACATTTCCGCCGCTAGCAATGGTTTACCTTCAATTTTACAGACATGCCAAATAGTTGGTCAGCCAGGACTTGTTCTCACTCAAGTTGCAGGTGCAAATACGTTACCAGTAACAGCCCCGATAGCTTTGACTGTAGCAGGAGTCCCAAACCAAACACAGTTGCAGAAGAGTCAGATTCACCCTGCTCAACCTATTGCAGAAACCAAACAAGTCGCTGCCGTTCCAGCCCCTCAGCCTATCAAAAATGAATGTGCGCTGATGAATCCTGACTCCTTCGGCATCCGAGCAAAAAAAACTAAGGAACAACTGGCAGAACTGAAAGTCAGCTACCTTAAAAATCAGTTTCCTCAAGATTCAGAAATTGTTAGACTTATGAAAATAACAGGCCTTACTAAAGGAGAGATCAAAAAGTGGTTCAGCGATACACGCTACAATCAGAGGAACTCAAAGAATAATCATGGGATTCATCTCAACAGTGATTCATGTGCCACCATTGTTATTGATTCAAGTGATGAAATGAATGAGTCCCCAACGGGAGTCGCTCCGCAGAGCAAGTCATCATGGAGCACTTTTCCTGATTTCACCCCACAGAAATTCAAAGAGAAGACTGCTGAGCAGCTGCAGGTCCTCCAGGCAAGTTTTCTTAATAACCCTGTCCTTACTGACGAAGAGATGAATAGGTTAAGGGCCCAAACCAAACTGACCAGGAGAGAGATTGATGCCTGGTTTACAGAAAGAAGGAAATCAAATGTCTTAAAGGAAGAGGGAGCTGACTTGATTGAGACCAATGCCGGCAGCTCAAAAGAAGAGACTGGAGAAACATCTGTGGGAGATGGAGCAGCAGGAACAAAATCAGGGTGTTCCTCTTCAAGCAAAGTAAGCAAAAAATCACCAGAACAGTTGCACATGCTTAAAAGTTCCTTTGTCCGCACTCAGTGGCCATCACCACAAGAATACAACAAGCTGGCAGAGGAAACCGGGCTCCCACGATCAGAAATTGTGAGCTGGTTTGGAGATACTCGCTATGCCTGGAAAAATGGTGGATTGAAATGGTATTACTACTACCAGAGCGCCAATGCAAACAGTCTGAATGGCCAGGGCTTTGCAAGGAAGAGAGGGAGAGGAAGACCAAAAGGGAGGGGGAGAGGAAGGCCTCGGGGGAGGCCTCGGGGAAGCAAGAGGTTAAATTGCTGGGACAGAGTCGGGTCTGTCATAAAATTCAAAACTGGAACAGCAATCCTGAAGGACTACTATATGAAGCACAAATTCCTTAATGAGCAAGACCTCGATGAACTGGTAGCCAAATCTCACATGGGATATGAGCAGGTCAGAGAGTGGTTTGCGGAAAGGCAAAGAAGATTAGAACTTGGAATAGAGCTGTTTGATGAGAACGAGGACGAAGATGAAATGCTGGAAGATCAGGAAGATGAGGAAGAAACAGATGATAGCGATACTTGGGAACCCCCTCGACACGTTAAGCGTAAACTTTCAAAATCAGATTGACGTGCAATTTGGGATCTGGGGCCAAAAACCTATGAATTAGGTTGGATATTATGGTGAAGAGCCAACTGATTTTTCATGGCCTTCAGTTTAGCAAGCACCTGCTTAGCATCTTCCTTCCACCTGAAGGAGCACGAGCAAGATGCTGCCTGTGCAGGCAACAACTGTTTGCTTCCTTGCTGCAAGAGATGGACATCCTCAGGCCTAGCCGAGGATGTGGGGTTGTAAATGGGATCCAGTCCAGCTCCTCCTCTTCCGCATTACCGATGGGAAGGTTCACGTTCATCGTTCACATGACTGTTTCTCAATATTGAATTGCCTTATGTTGTTTAATTCCAAAAAAACACAGACACATTTTTTTTGTTGATGTAGGATACCGTATCGTTGCCTGCTCATGAAGGAGGAAAATACAAAAGCCTAAGATGTCTTTTTGCAAACATCGTTTCACCCGAAAGGTTTCAAGGCCTGGGTTTATTTCTTAAGGAAAGAGTTCAAAACAAAAGAGAAGGGGGAAAGTGTGACAAAGGAATCAATGAACCTAGGGGTGAGAATTGCTTGGTTTAAGAAAATGAGGTGATACTGGCACCTTTTGCATATCTTCAGAGTGTTTTGGGTTTACAGAACTTGTGTTGAAATGTTCCTTGTTGATAATTACGAACTAGCTGAATGAGTCTAATGCTAGGAAATGCTTTTTGTTACATTTAATCAGTGTACTCTCCATCAGTTTAATTTAAATGCCTGACAGACTTGATGCAGTTGATGGTAACACTCGTTTTTAGCTTGTGCATTCTTTCCTTTGTTGGAAACGGTAAGAAAAGTATGTATGTTTCTAGCTAAAAAGAATAATTTCTTGAAATCGTACACTGATTTTTTTAAGGTAAATGTGAGGTGGAAACTGCCTGGAAGTTGTTCAGAGTTGCTTAGAGGTTTGTAAGAATCCACGGACACAGAGACAAAAAGCGTCTTTGGGTGTGAGTAAGAAAGGTTTTCAAGTAAGTTGTGGCAGTGACGTGATGTTTAATTCTGAAACAAAATGTAGTTGTATGGCTTTTAGATGCTTAGGAATGATAAACATGCTTGTGTTCAGTTGTTCTTCAGCGATAGCCCAGTTGAAGGATTTGTGCACAAGTTTAACTTAAATTCATCCTAATGGGTTGAGCTCGCCACTGTGCTGGTTGTTCTTAGGGCTGCCGTGTGGATGCACTTGTTTCTAGAGGTGGTTTGATCTGAACTCCAGAATTTGTTTAATCTGATACAAAACATCTACATCTTGAACCAAGTGTCTTTAAAACAGGAAAAAAAAAAAGCGCCATTTAAGACATTGAAATGATAGTAGAGTTTGAATTACCACCTTAAAAACAACGGGCCAGATTCACAGAAGGGAGTTTATGGAGATGTTTGGCACCCTAGAGAACTGGTACTCTGAGGAAAAGTAGTTTGTATTCTTGCTACTGTTGGTCTGCATTTTGTAGGGGAAAGTTACTTTACATTTCGATGCCAAAAGATGGTGATGAGTTGGTGCTGCCATCGCCAGCGTGGTCTGCTTTTACATTGGCACTAACGGGAAAAATACGAGCAGTCTCCTTTTGCACATCTGTCAGCATCTTCTCTGTAGGCTTCTGCATCTGATGACCCATGAGAGACAGATCGATGTGGAGAAAATGTGCCCTAATGTTTCCACATTTCCAAGAACGTAATCTGGAATTACTCTTTCTTCCTCACTGTGATAAATGTCAAAAGACCAAGAAAGTCCTGGAGGAGCCCATGTTAGATCTGGTTTTCATACCTGATTGTGGGTGAAACCCAAATCAAAGCAAGAAAGGGAATAATGTCTGACAGCAGAAGCGTTGTTCACCTCCCAGGCTCACCTTCCTCTCTGGACACTTGTAGCTGCCCTTCTGTTCTCAGATTGAACGGATGCTCGGTGAGAAAGCCATTTACCAGGCTGAGCTCCTCTGACTGTTTGTGATTGCTGGAAAGAAAAAGGCAATGGCTTTTGGCGTGTGACATGAATTTGGTGATGAAGCTGTTCCCTGCCTTCCAAAGCTCAAACTGGTGAGGCACAAAGTGGCCAGGGATGCTAAAGACAACTAGCCAAAATCCCCTCAGTTTAACTCTGGGGTGGGAGAGAAGCAAAACTGTGTTATTAGCTGTTTCACTGCAGTGCTTTGACTCCAGATGTGACGTGGTGTAAGAGAGATCAGGATCTGGCCTTTTTGGTGTTCACTGTTTCACGGGGCTGCGAAGTGTTCTTGTTTGGCTGGTTATGGTATGGGAGAAGCTACTGAAGATGTCAGCAGATAGAAGAACACCTCGCGTTAGCTGGAATACTACTGGGAATACAGGGTCAAAAATTAGTGCTTGCTGAGTGGGAAAGGACAAAGCTAGCAGAGCAAGAGATGCTATTTTTAAGTTTCCAAAAATATTAAAGCTGATCCTTAAAATCCTTGGGAATATGCCTCTAGCAAGCAAAATCTGGAGTTGCCTTAATCCTTAAGATTGACCCAGACTTAATTTTCTTTCAAAGAAAAAAAAAACAACTAACCACCCAAGCAACCTGTCTAAATAAACATCCCCATCTTTGTTAGCAGACTCTGCATTTAGGTTAGCATTAAATCCGACCTTCTTTAAAAGATGGGAAGAAATAAAGATCCAAGTTAATTATTTGATTAAACTGGGAAATTTTCCATTTTTGCAATGTTCTGTTAAATAACACTCAGCTACAATGGTAGGCCTTAGCACATCTGGTCCGAAAAACACAGGAAGAGGAAATACATTGTTTATCAGACTAAATATAGTTGGACTGGACATCTTCTTTCAGTAAAACGGACAGAGATGGTGGCTGATGTGCGCTGGGCCAGATTTTCAGTTGCTGTAAATATTCCGGTTCCGTGTATTGCACTGGTTATAATCGTATTCACAGCCCACTGAGGTACATCGTCTCTTTGCAGAATATAAAATCTAAATTAAACCATGTGCTGCGGGTCGACTGATGAGCGCTGCAGAGTACCCACATTTCCTTTGGGGTAGATGCACGTTGTAAGCCCTTCAGCTGTGCCAAGGATGAAAAAAATGTGGGTGGGTTCAGCCCTGAAGACATTGCTTGGAATCTGTCTGTTATTTCTGTTTGACAAAACAAGAGTCCATTAATTACCAGTTTAGTTCATGTTTCCAGCATGTATATATTTCACTGCAATAGCGGGAGAGAGGGAGACTCCTTCTGCAGGCCTCCCGCATCAGGACTGACAGGAGAAGCATTGGCAAGAGCTGTCAGTGTGCCAGTCTGTTTTATCTGTGAATTGTGACCGTGGCTGGATTTAGACACATCAGCAAGTTTATAATTTATAATAAATCTGAGCATAATCTGTAGCTTAGGCACACCTGCAAGGTGTTTTGGAAGCCACTTGTACTGAGCTATGTTGACAGTGGGGAGGGAAGGGGCAAGATGATACGCGTGCCCTGGTGGGCTTTTGTTATCTCCTTGCTCGGTGAAGAGCTGTCTGTAGGTGAGCCTGTGGTGTGTTTTCTGGTAGCTGGTTTGTCCTCAGTCGTCTGGGAGCACAGTGTCAGAATTCAGCTGTGAGCATCAGTTCCTTTAGAGCTGGGGTAGAGCTTTCCTCCTCATCTGCCGTTTCTGCCAGGAGTTCCTGATCTGCTGATGCTGGTTACTGCGGTCTCTGCAATTCAGCTAAAGGGAGACTAAAGATAATCCTGTGCCAGAGTGGAGAGGGAGAAGGGCTAAGAGAACTCAAGCAGCGTCACGACTGGGTGAGGCACACACCATCACCGTATCGTGCTGCTTCATGGCGTGGTTTGCTCTTGCTTCTGAGTGCAATGAAAGAGCGCAGTTCTGTCTTAAACACTGCCATCTTCCCAGCATCAACCTCCCATTGACCCCAGGGTTAGTGTTTGTTGAAAAAAGAAAGTCAGCCCTCTTCTTCCCTGGAGGTTTGGATGAACTAACAGTGCTGGCTTGGAAGAAGTGGAAAGAAGGAAAAATGCAGAAGCTTGAAGGCTCTTGACTTTTCCTTGCCCTGCAGAATTCACGTGCCTGAAGGTTCATCGGCACAACAAGCCTTACTCCTACTGGTCTGAGAGAATAGTAAAGCATTGCAATCACTCGTTTTTATTTAGCACATAGAAATCTGTGCTTTGTTTTGAAAGCAAAGCAAAGATACCCAGTACCTATTAACACAATGTAGTGGATTATCTCTAATGCACTACAGTAAAGGAGGCCATTCCCTTTTTTAACTTTGTCCAGTACCATTTTAAAAACTGCATTTTCATGGCACTGTGCACAGTACGGTGACTGGCTGTAATGTTGATTATTGAGGAGGAAACTCACGCACACGACATGAAGTGATTTTTCTAATGCATGATTTGCTGACTTTGGGTAAAAAGCCCATTTTCTTCCTGCTTGCCAAGGAACTCTTGAGGCAGGCAAATGCACTCCCTTCTCTCCACAGAGCAGAGAAAGCATTTCTGGAGCCCGTACCAAGTGATTCACAGCCTTACGCAGTCCCTGTAGGCCAGAAAGCCCGAAGATGCAGACGCTCTCTTCCTCCTCTGTTTTCCTCTGAAATGAGAGCACAGCAGTAACTCTGACAACTCGTCTCTGGCTGCTCAGTAACCAAGCTGTAGTTTGAGGTGGGGAGCATTTTCCCTTTTGCACTTAATGGAGTACTGTGTATTCAGGCTGGATATCAGTATTTGCTTCTGTAAATATCACAGTATCGATTTGCATCCTCCACCTGAGTCCCCTGTCTGTCTATATTCATATCTCCCAAGGAGAGAAGATAATCTTTAAGCTTCTGTAGTAATAAATTTCCCTGCCCTAACCCGAATGCACAAAAGTAGAGTGCAATGAAATATAGCTACTTTCTTTTATTTTATTTATTTTTTTCTTGGAAAATAATTTTGTCTGTGTTCAGTAGTAGTGAAAAGATAGTATTGATGATCAGAGAGCAGTAAAACTGTTGAGAGTTGTTCGTAATGGTGGTGTA